TATATATATATATGTATTATTTATTTATTTGTTTGTATATGTATGTGCATAGAATGTCTAAACATATATGTATGTATGTAATTGTATGTATACATGTAAACATATGTACATACATTGTATGTATATATATATATACACACACACACATATAATCTCTTCCCCGGGTTAATCCCCACTCCAAATACTGAAACCCCATTTTCCCGGACCCGGGTTTTAGCATTGGACGGTCAGATTTGGTCTCTTCCCATTGCTCGGCGCTGTAGGGCACGCCGAAGACCCTACAATCCCACGTTCCTGCGGTTGCTGCTGGCTGCAGTCCTTGCAGTCGACTCAACTCACCTGCTGTAGTGCACGCTCGCTCTTGCAATCGTAAGGTTTCGGATGCTGGGATAGTCCCTAAACCGTTCCAGTACAGACTCGCTCTCTAAACTTGACCTCTGCGAGCGAGAGAGAGAGAGAGAAAGAGAGAGAGAGAGAGAGAAAAAAAGAGAGTGAGTGAGAGGGACAGAGAGACAGAGATTCGATACCGTCATAGTCTACGAGTTCCCTGGAAGGATCCCTAGGGTCTCCCTAATGTCCCCTAGTTGAAATCTCCTCTTCGATTTGTGAGTCAGGGTGGGATTCAATGCACGGAGGAGATTACTTGTACGTATATCTTTGTCTAAGCATTTATCTAACTTTCTAATTATCTGTGCATGTATTGCTTTGTTAAGTTGCATTATATGCATCTATACATTTTGTCTCATTCTGCAAACACTAATCTAGCCGTCCCGTCCCAAAGCTCTTGGTAGATTCGCGCATGCACTGATGCGATTCTGCAACCCGTCTTCATCCAAAGGCAGTGTGAAATGTGGCTGGTCTGCATCGAACCCAAGCTCTAGATAGACTCTATATAATGAATATAATGCCCTCGCCTCTCGAAGCACCATCTCCACGACCTTGCGTGGCTCTTGTGGCTCCCGCACCTCCACCAAGCCAGGCATGCAAAGGCAGCTTTGTCCAACCTTTGACAAAGGCCCCATCCGCCGAGCGGCCGTCATCCAGTTGCGACTCTGCACAGAATTTCGGAAGAAGTGGGCCAGCCGTTGCCCACTCATGGTTGCCTCGACTCTCGGCATGGTTTGCGGACAAGGCAACTGGCTGCGACATGACGTCTTCGGTCCTCTGTCAAGCACAGTTCAAGCATGGCGCATACTGTGTGATGACTGCTTGAGCCGCGCCCCGTGTCGACTTCAGAACCTTGCAGGCATTCCCACTCGAATCAGGAAAGCTGCAACTGAGCGTGTCAGTGCTTGAGGCACACGTTGCCGGCAAGTCTCCACTGCATTTGGCTGGAGCTCAGCTGCTGCAGCCTCCGCACCCTCGAAAAGGTCCTTTGCAACGCCCCAGACCTGCCAGCACCACGTTCTACAGATTTTAGCAAGTCGCTGCAGCACACCACCACGACTGCGACGTGACGACGATGCGCCCAGGCCTTGTTGATGGCCTTGACCTCCAGGTGCCGGCCCACCCGCACCAAAGCCAATGCAAACAAACCACACCATTCGAGATCCTCGGTGGTGTGACATTACATACTCTGATGTATGTTACATGTTACGTGGTGTACAAGCAGGTTGCTCCATAGCATGGTTCTAGCGGGTGTACATGGGGCTCCTTAGGGCCGTATCTAGGGTGCTTATATGGGAATGTTTGCACTCATTATTAGACATCACGACGCCACATCATATTCGATATGATCCGATACTGTGTGCGGAACGCTTTGGAGCTGGAGGACCGAGCTCGAGTTGCCACAGCTTTAATGGTCCCAGGCACAGCCACCTGCTTCATCTCTTTCGCCATTGGCAACGGCAGCAGAGCTTCGCCGACGTCGCTCCCCACCTCACAAGCTGCCATGTACCCGGTGCATGTCAACTGCATCTGCAAGGCAAGAGAGCTCTCCCATTTTCCTGCATGCCACAGTGCTCAAACATTGTCCAAGCGGTTACATGGGCAGTGCATATCTTATGCTCTGCCCCGCGCCCGGTGGCCGACCCGCAGCACGCATCTTCAATGATATGGATAGATCCATATGCAAGGACGGAGCTTCGTGCAGCCAACATGTGCAGGGACAGCACCAGACAAATATGCAGTGTGCCGGTGCACACTAATTGTGCTTGCCGAAGTAGTAAGCTTCGTATGGCCATCATGGCTCACTCCATTGCAATGCCAACCCCAACTTACTGCTCGCCTCCTCCCTTCGTCTTGGTCAGGTTCACCGTCTCGCGCTTGAGGACCTTAGTGAAGGAACACGATGACCGCAGCAATGCACAAAGGTGACAAGTGTAAACCTGTTAGGGCTTCGGGACTGAACCCACGTTTGTAATTTCGCCGCCCAAAATCTGCTCCCAGCACAGCTTCAAGAAACTATACACCGGCAACTGGGCTCGAGGCGTGAAGCAGGGTCTGAGAGGACTCGAGGATCTTCATGTAAGCGGCTTCCGTCTCCTGGATCGTCTTGTCGTACTCGTTGCGGGCCTGGGTCTTGCGAACCAAGCTCTCGTTCACCTTCTGCAGCCGATCTGTGAGGATGGACAGCTCTTTCTGGATCTTCGCCTTGTCTTCCTCCTCCTTCAGGATCTGGCGGTTCAGCTCCTCACGTTTCTCACGGAGATCTTCGATAGACTTCACGAGCTCGTTGTTGTAGTTCTGCAAGGTGGCTCCCTGAGACGCCATGTCGGCGAGTGCGAAAGAAGGGCGATTGAGTTCTCTTGAGCTGCCTTCAAAAGCTGCGGCACCAATCCCGTCCAAATGGTGTCTCCTAGACCACAGCTCGGACCGGTCTGTTCAGAACTCTGGCAAAGCTGTGTAGGAGCGCTCCGAAATTCAGACAAACGGGAAGACCGGAACCATCTCTTGCGTCAGATGACTTGTGGCCTGCATGCCAAGACTTAGGCAGGCCAAGCCACGTATGTGCGGCAGACTTCCGTGAAGGTCGTAAAGAAAGTCGTAAGCCTCCGGAGCGAAGCATGGCAAAGTCAGAGAAATCCGGTGAATCTAGCCCAGGCCATGTTTGCGTACAAGGAGCTGTGAGTGGAGTCCCCTGATGAGTTGCTGGCCAGCCACCTCATGAGGGGAAGGCCCAGTGTCAACAGCTCACTGCAAGAGGCAGTAAATGAAAAAGCTCACCAAAATGCCCTCCGATCCTTGTCGGGACCAAGGAGGCTCTGCAGTGGTTGGCACTCCGTCAAGGCCGTGAACCCATGCCTAGCTGCTCCAGCTCAGGCCACCGTTTTGTCAAAGCATGATAACACTGCCAGACAACCAAATTCGCAGAGCAGCATGATTACGGACTGCTCCGTCTTCGCGATCTCTTCCAACACGTCGTCCAAGCCCGAACTGCTGGACTCGCCCAGCTTCTTGCATTCCTGGTGCCTGGATTGTTGAGTATGCACTATGCAAAACCTTGTAGCAGCTCATCAGAACGTCCACCATGTAGTACGTTGCATGATTGTCTGGGGCCCGTGCAGCTTACACATCTCTGTCAGCATAGCTGAGCAGGCTGTTGCAAACAGCGCCTTCATAGCATCCATGGCCTGCAGTAGTCGCTGTGTGCTTTCCAGCCAGACCACTACATCATCCCATGATATCTCATGCAGCGAATGCTCAGCACCACACCGTCCGGCCAAGGAATGCTCGGAAGAGCCGTGTAAGCAAAGCTGGCAGGAGCGAATGTAGTCGCCTTCGATTCCAAAAGCATCTGTACATGAAGTTTCCAGCGGCCAAACACTCTGCAGAAAGTTGAGGGTGCCTCAAGGAATCTCGGACAGAATGGATGCACGAAACGAGCACCCGCGTAGGTGGACATTTTTTGTCCACCAGCTGCGTGATACGGTCCTTGGATCTGCCGGCCATGCACTGCATCGGAACTCAACCTTGCCGGTTTGTGACGATACTCTACTACAGCATTGAGCTCCCCACGCACAGATCTTCAATTCTGGCACTCACGAATTCCGGAAGCACGTTCTCGTCAACTGCAGATCCAGATCCGGAGCCTTACAAAAACTTGGGCAGGCTTGCGACATCTGTGAGAGTAAAGCTCTGCTTGTAGGACGAGCAACGAACCTCAAGCAACTTCTGAAAACCTGGGGCGATGCAGTAGGTCCCGCTGTGGAGAGGCGAATGTGCACCAATGAGAACACTCACTATCACCTGAGCCTGCGGCCCTCGACAGCATCGCAAAGCATCGGAACGTAGGTCTGTCGTTGCAGGAACCACTTGCAACAGGACAAGACCAGTACAAGTAGCAACAGCAGTACTACTACTCACCAGTAGCCTACCAGCAAGGAGAGGCAGGAAGGCCTCTGTAGCTCGCCTGCACGCACCGTGCAAGGCCAAGCTTTCAGGTCGTCGGAGCTCCTCCTGATCACAGCGAGACGTGGAGCTAAGTGAGTCCTAATGACTATACCAGTAGCCAAGAACCCCCAAAGAGTGCACACTCCCACACCGGAACCACAATCTCCAACTCATTCGGGAGCCTGATCCTTGGAGAGCTCTTCATCGCCAGGTTCAGGTCCTTCAGGCAACTGAGGGCAAGGACGTAAACTGTTGCAAAGAAGAACATCAAAAAATCCCAACCGCTTCGTGAATGCCACCTGGAGCATCTTCCAGTGGATCGAAGCAAGCCGCCAGGCGGCTTCGAAGAGCACCCGTCCTGGAGGATCTCTCTTGCATCTACTCTCGCAGAAACCCGAATCCCGAAACCGTGCAGGGTCCTTCCAGTGAGATATTCGCTGGAAACTTTGACCTGGTCCTCCCCAAGATCCAAGAGCGTTACAGAGCCTTGAGACAAGGCTCTAGTTGTCTGACTCTTGGAGTTCTGAGGGCCAAGTTAACGCTTAAAGCTTCGGGACCTTACGGGTGGGCTTATCTGCACACTGGCATCGCATCATAACCAGGGTGCTTTAGGTCAGGATTCGCAATTCGACTGGCACGGCCCGAAATAGCTGCAGTGAGCATCACTTTCAGGCCCTCTGCTCGGGGAACACAGCCATATTCAAGCTCGTTGCTGCCAATGGTTTTCTGGTACAGTTTTTTATGAAGGGAAGAACAGGATGACAACGTGACCTGTCGCGGCCCAAGGACTGTTCAAAGACATGATATACACCACCGGCAGAGCTAGTCTATTCTCGAGAAGAAGACAACCAAAGGCACCTCATGGTGTGGGGACCCTCTTGGAGCCAGGGGGCTGTTGACGGCTTCCTCAACAGAGAGCTCTGGAGAACGCAAGCGGTCTTCCAGGGCCACGCGGATGCGACCCATCTGAAGTTCCACCTGTCATTGGAGAAGAACTGGGAGCCAGAGGTCTGCACTTCCACTTTTGCCGTCTCCAGCGTCAATTCGAACCGAGTCTTGCTCTGTATACGGGGCTGTATGGAGGCAGCACTTGCAGCACCTGTTTGATGAGACACGTCTTCGGGGCACCCTTTATGGCCTCCTCCAGGACCTTCTGAAAGGTGGGCATGTGCCTGTCACAAGCACATGCCTACTCAGAAGCACCTTCCGGGCCGGACCTACAAACTGCTTCCCAAGGCACCTGTATTGACGAAGGAAGCCTGAACAGCAGCCTAAGATGCAGGTCACGGAGAGCTGGAGGCACAAACTGGTGGGGTGATGACATGCCAACCGAACTTCCAAAAATTGCTCCTTGCAGATTGGCCGCAATATGCCTCCACTGCTTCTCCATAGGCCTTTCGATCGAGGCACTTCTGGAGTGTTGCAGGAAGTTCAAAGAGCACCTCCGGGCTGAACCAGGACAGATGAGATTTAGCACAGGCACTAGTCGCCATCATCATGCTCCATATCGCAACTGGACGTGAGACGGCCTGCAGCTTGCGACACACGCGCTGCCTGAGCGGGTCTTGGAATCTTTCTCGCTGCACTTCTTGAATTCTTCTTCCACTGTATAAGGAAGGGGCTGCTTCAGCAGGTCCTCGATCCGGCCAGCTCTGCCTGATGTCCCATCTTCAACCTTCTTCTGGTGTTCTGTTATCCTGCGTCCAGGAGGAAGATGCAGAGGGCAATGCTCCCAGCACCGCCGTAGAATTGCAGCACTGTCCTGGAGACGTTGCCCTCAAGCACTTTTAAGTCAGGGTCCAGCCCTTCTATCGTGAACTTCATCTGCTTGATTACATCCTCAGCTGACAGACTCTCCGCCAAGGTGGTGGCAAGCTGGCAACCTGCAAAACAAAACAACTCACATCAGTGGATTGTTCAACTAGCCAAGTTTCTGTCGCTCGGATGAACTTGCTGTAGTTCCTTGCAGGAAGGCCCGGAAAGCTACGGCTGTAAGCACAATCCGAAGCGGCTTCCAGGAGCCCCCGAAAAGATGCCAGGGTGCTCGTAAACCAGCATCTGCATATCGCCATCCAGATCCTGTTAAGGGAGCATGCTATTGAACGCCATGGCATGCGGCTGCTTGCCAGTGCTTCCCCAGAAAGGATCTCTGAAGACACATCTTCCCACTTGCAGGCGAGTGAGAACCATGTAAACTGTAGTAGCCTTAGACCGCCACCTGTCCTTGATCTCAGCGTCCAGCTCGTTGGCGCGCTTGACGAGCTCAGGCAGCTGCCCGGAAGAAACCAGACCGTCAAAGTAGCCTCAGCACATCTGTTAGTCAAAGAGAAAGCCATGGGGCCATGGGTACGGCACGGGAAAAGCAAACGAAAGGTGCATGTCCAAGCTGCGCTTTGCATCAAAGCCAACCTTGTCCAGATCACTGCCGCCGGGAGCAGTCACAGCCGGATCCTTCTTCTCTGTACCCTCTATGTGGTAATACCTGCCAGCAGAGAGCCCCATACCCCTTGATTAAAGCAATATACCTGGACACCAAACAGGCATAATTTAAAGCATTTCTCTCAGCACCCGCGTTCAGTTATAAAGGTCCCCTTTACACTTTCTGGGTCAGTCCGCCCAAGGTCTGGCAGTCGCCGAGTCGCGCGTTCAGCAGTGCCCCAACCCGCCGGCGCTCGCGTGGCGGGCGACCCTCCATTGCTTCTTAGGGCGGCCCTGACGAGTGACGAGATTCCAGTGCTCTCCAAAGCTGTTTGCAGCTGCTTCTGGGTCTGGTGGGTGGTTTTGCAGGGTGATGATTGGCCTTGAGCCTACAGACCGCCCGAGCCGGTGAACAGAGACCGGCCCACGACATGGAGCAACCAGGTTTTAACAAGCCTTGATGCTGTCTGCCTGCGGCCCCCACGTCACCATCTTTTGGGGCCGACCACTTCTTCCAGCACCCTCAAAAGCCTGAACATAACGCAGACAAGGGATCTGGAGCACGATTCTTCCAGCTGAGACGGCCTGCACATACGAGCTGCGAGACTCTTTCGTCATGGGAATAATGGCGTGGCGCACAACCTAGGTTGAACAAGGACTGCGCACAGCAAATTCAGTTCTCAGAATGCCGTCTGAAGCGCATCACCGGTGGTATGCACGGTTGCTTTGTAGTGTGGCATCACATCCCGCAAAGTTCCTGAGCTCAGGAGTCAGGAGTGTCTTCGGATGTTGCACCTCATCAGCGGCATAATTCCGGCCATCTCAGTTTGCCGCCCAGAAGCTGTAGAATCCCAGTAACTCTTTCACTGTGATGCCACGCCCAGCGATCTCCGCCACCTTCATGTTCCAGGCCGTCGACGAGCGCTCGAAGCCGAGCTCTCCTATGGGTGGTGTTGCCAATGCTTAGTGAGTTCCAAGTTGCTTATGGGCATGTCTAGGATATGCCTCAACAAGGCCTCTAAACCCTGCCCTGGTTTGTGTGCGGTCGGTCCCTTGCCAGTTAGGTAGGCTTGACTTTGATGGCCTCCTGAATAACTTGAGAAGTAGCCAAACAAGCCAGAGGGGAGGAGGGAGGCAGAGAAACTCCTCAGGTCTTGGGGCCGTTGCCTGGAAGTTCCGTAGCATGCCCTTGCTGTGCCCGAGCGGTACCCACCGACAGCTGTGTAAAACTGGTCACAAACAGACGCCCACCCACCCACCTCGGCACTAAACTCCGCGACGAAGCACATGTCTCACCTACTCGCCTCCCTCATCTCTTCTCTGCACATATGAGTTAAGAGGGTGGCCAAAGGCCGAGGGGCCTACTGTCTGAAAAGTCAGAGAAGGGGTGACCCCTTCCCCCCCATTGTCATGTCTTTAGCAATTTGCCCGAAAGAGCTAGCTTTCGGGACCTAGGCTTCACAACCTGAGTCTCCGTGCCACAAAGCGTCGGCTGTCGGTCTTCTCACGGCGCAAGCCTGGGCACTTTGACGTGGAGTCGGCCGAGTCTGCGGTGGCAAACTGCCAGCTGCACGGCCTGAGAAGGACTCTTGGGGATCCATCAGCCCACTGAAGTTGCTCCGCAGCCCAAGCCCCTTTCGATATCTGTGCCCAAGCGGCTGATCTGCGCGGGACCGGTGCCGGATGGGTCGTCGGTAGCCACCGGACAGGATGAGGGCCGCAGACACGCACGTAAGCAATTCCAAGGCCTTTCCGGAATTTCCGGTGCGAGCTCTTACACTGAAGCTCAAGGGAGAACAACACGAATTGCTTGTCGCGGGGTTTACAGTAATTACCAATTTTTAGTTACTTTAGTTGTTACTGCCACTGTTGCTGTTCACCCTACTCTATGCCATCCGCATTGCACTTACCCTCTCCACGTGTTTGTTAACATTCTTTTGACTCTGTGTTGGTACCCCTGTGATCGCTTCTATTGCTGCTAGTCGGCCTCGACGGACGACAACGAGGACTGTGGCGAGAGAGACTATGAGGAAGAGGAGGAGCAGGAGGAGGAGGAGGAGGAGGAGGGTGGAGGGAGGACTTCGAGGATCGTCACTTCTTCGATCTTGTTCGGTCATTCTGCGTTGTGTCAATATTCGAGCCCACTTGATCACAGAGCAGAAGAGTGCAGAGCAGACTTTAGCGTCCTCATGCGTCCTCCGCTGCTGCTGGATATGTGCCGGTATTGATTTCGATCTGTCTTGTCCGAGTACAGCGTGGCATCGTAGGAACGAGTGGCATGTACGGTCAAATGCAGTATGCTTGCGATCATGCTGGTTTTTACTTTTCAACTCACTCTTCGCAGAGCCTGGAAGGAACAGCTGATGGCCAAGTCCGGCTCACTTCGGTAGCCCCGACCGTCCAAGAGCTTCTCCAAAGCGACGGGGAGCAGGGCGGAGCCTGCGAAGCGCAGAAATCCATGAAAGAATCCGGGTCGTGAGCATGTGGCAAGTCACCCTCAGGCTGAAATGGTCTCCCTCTGACTCTGAGCCTGGCAGACTTGAAACCTGGGAGCCCTGCGGAGACCGCATGCCCTTTCGCGCAACCCCCCCCCCCGACTGTTCAGGCTCGGAACTTGCCACCAGATGGAGTATGACACCGAAGAGCTGCCATCGGACCACGGCCCGTGCCCGCCGCAGCTGTTGACCAGCACGCCTGTCTCAGCGCATGCGACGAAAAGGGTGAACTTATAGCAACCCATCGAACCACGAGTGGCCTCGCTCGAGGGTGCGTCGCAGTGAAATCGTTGGTGACGCGCACAGCCTGCGGCGAGGCCAGGACTCAGGACATCCCAAGAAGCGAAGCTTTCGGCAGACCTGGCCAAGGTCCCAAAGGATCACCGACATGATGATGATGACCGTGACCTGAGCCAGGTCCAAGCGACTCCTGTGAGGTGGCCGTAGCCGTGGGCGCCGTGGGCGCCGTGGGCGCCGGACGCCGGTGGCCACGAAGAGAAGGAAGTTCATGCCCCCAAGGCTGAGCTGAAGCGCCATGAGGCCGGTGTAAGGCTCACCTGAACTTACAGGCATCACGGCTTCGGCAGAGCGGAATCTGGTCTCTGCAGGCGAGTGGCACTCCATGCAATTGTTCCAAAACTTGACATGCGCAGTAATCGCGCTTTCCGCAACCTGGCTGTAAGTCCGGATTTGGGCTGCGCTGGCGATAAAAAAAAGTTACTGTGCGATAGTTACATAGGCTGTGTGTGCTATGTTCCGGGGCCCATCAGAACAAGACGGCACAAGTGAAAACAGGTGAAACAAGGTGGAGAAACAAAGCAAGAACCTTCGGAGAGGTAGCATCCGCGACAGGGATCCAGTATGAACAAATGATGAAACATGAGCGGCATCGCGAAAGCGACATGTCCAATACCGCTGGCAATGGTGAGGAGATTGCCTGTCAATGCTATAACCTCTAACCGCACCTCCGCAGCTTTACAACCTTGCAGTGCCCGTGTAGCGATTCTGATTCTGCGCAGTTGACATGTGAAGGTATCGCGTCTGCTTCTTCTGCTGTTTCTGGTTAGCCTCACGAAAGCTGTAGGTACCCTTGCAACACCACGGGCGACCAATGTACAACATTGCATCAGTAATTTTTGCATCCCTTCCACCAGATAAGATGAGAATCAATGACTGAATTCGGCATCTGCGGTATCGGGGCCGGGCGGGCGGAAAGCACGCTAGTTCGAATCGACATGTGTACTGCGCCATGGCGGGAGCATAGCGAGTGTCACAGGCACAGCGGTCTGCAGTACGGTGAATATGACATCCCCGTAGTGTTACCACACCACCACATACTGCCGCACTGTTTACGAGTCTTTAATAGTCTTTTCTGTCAGTAAGCCTGCTCGCATTCCGTGTCCGAAAATTTGCTTGCAGGCCTCCGCACCAAATGGTTCCTCTGAGCTTGTCTGAGATCCGCCAATTGATGTATAGGTCCTTGAAGCACTGCCGGAACAAGCACGCATGGGACAATGGGACGGTGCACCAACAGATCTGCTTAGGGAAGTTCCAGATGCTCACGGCAAGAGCAACCGTTGCCGCAATCTTCTGCACGGCTATGCCGACGGCAAGGCACCTGTCAACATGCTAAGCCAAGCTAATGCACATAGGCAAACAATGCGTGATGTGCCCTGACACCCGTTCAGGAGAAGGCTCGCAGTGTTCAAAATTGGATGGAACTGCAACATCACCGGGCACCTTCCACCGAAGAAGCGCCGCGATGTGGCCTCCACCGCCAGCACCTCTGGAAGCCGAGATTGTGAAACCACACTGGGAAGAGACTGCTGTCAAGGGAAAACTCGGCGGCATGCAGGATTCATGTTCGTGCTGATACACCCGCCGTCTGCAGCCAAGGTTCTCGCCAGACCATGAGGTGCTGCATCCAAATCAAGGTGGCCAGGAACAAGAGAGTGCGAACGATGATCACTCCGTAATAATCCTTGTAGTAATCTGCCCTGTCGTAGCTGCTTAGCTCCTGCCAGGGCGTCTTGCTTCAACCAGGAGGCAAGGCAAACGACTTCGACCTCATGAGGCTTTGAGGAGTTAGTTTTATGAAGGTTTATGTTACATTAGAATAATCCTTTTTTGAACGAAGTTTCTCTGAAGCTAAACCCTTTGAACGAGGTCTCTCTGAAGTGCCTCCAAGTTGCCCGCCTCATCGATGACTTGTGCGAAGCTAAACCCTAAACCCACTCCTAAACCCTAAACCCTGAACCCTTACATTCCCGGCTCCTGTGGTGCAAAGATTTTCTGCATCGTCCCGTAGGCGCAACCGCTCTTGGCTCGCTCGTGAGCGGGTAGAACCGTCGCCACCAGGCCCTGAAACCAACTCAGCAGAGCCAGGCCTCCAGTTCTTATGCTTTAACGTATGTTGGAGTGTATTCTAGCGTAGTATGGTAGGGTAATCGGGAATTCTGTCTTAACCTAGGAAATAGTAAACTAAAGTATCTTATAGTATGCTGAAGAATATTATAGTAATCGTATTGTATCAAAATAGATTTCAATAAACTGAATATTTTATAGTCTGCTGAAGTATATTATAGTAGTAGTACTGTATGAAAACAGATTAAAATAAACTAAAGTATACATAGCATGTTGAAGCATATTGTAGTATACTGCAGTATATTGTAATTGGATGTTTGCTTACTTTGCATCCAGAACAGCACTATTGTTAAATATACACAGGCTGCAATCTTGTCTTTATCGTTTCTGGGAAGTTCAGGCTTAGGTGAGATTCTGTACGCACACGGACGGGCAGTTTGGCTCCACCGAAATGGCTGAAAGTTGAAAGGTTGGAGTCTGCATCTGTGGATCTGAAAGCAGAGGTAAAGATCTCTGTGCAGATAATCAAACATGCATGCACAGCTTTGAGCACTGCGGGCTTAAGTACATCATTGTTCGGGCATATGCACAACACATCACCGCAGCGCCTGAAGCCGACAGGATGTGCACCGAACCACCAGCATTGCGAAACATGAGGCAAGCTGCAACACCTGCGACGAGCTCACGGCCAACAAGCGCATCTGGCTCTCCAATTGTGCCATGCCCGCCACCACTGTATGCCTTCTTGTGCCGCTTTTCATGCGTTCCTCTCTCACCCCTCTGACACCAGCGAGACCACACCGACGCTGGGAGTGCGGCTACTCCGCAGTACTCCTCACCATAACAAACAACCATTCTGATACACCTATGATCCTCAGAAGAGCCACAAGAGTTTTCGAGAGTGCCATGTACAGTAGAGGGGCCCGGGCCTGCAAATGTTGCAACGCACAAGATCAGGTAAAAGCCGATGTGGTCGACCTTACAGGTGTATTACCGGCAACTTACAGCATACGGCCAGCTGCTAGAAAGTGTCAGATCGCATTCAGGGTGTAGGACAAGTTTAGTTTAGGATTAATGATTACTTACGCGAAACGGAGAGTGGCAAGTGTAGGCAAGTAGCCGCATCGCAGCCAAGCTTGTCCACGTGCACTGATGGATTCTCCCGGCGCCACTCAATTGTTGCCTCGTGGTCCCTTGGCGCCATGACCACGGCGTAAAGCGCCGTGACCTGCACAGCCGGCACAGTTTCGTAGTTTCGTGTTTATGTCACCAGGTCGTTGGGTTAAGACGAGCCTCACTCACATTTGCGGACTGTTGTCGTCGGCACAAGCTGCGACCAAGAATGGCTAAGACTGTGCTGCCGAAGCACGACAAGCACCATGGTAGTCAGGGCCAAGAACGACAGCCAGTCTGCGAAGTGACCTCGTCTGAACAAGCCAGCGCCAGGGACTTTCAATACAATAGGAAAACATGAGCAACAGCAAGCTTTCAGCATCAAGGTGCTGTCGCCCAACTGCAGCAAGGTCCTGGCCGGCGAACGAAACCAATATTGTAGGATACTGTGTGATAAAGTAAATGTTAATACCAACAATGTCTATGTATGTATACACATATACACACACATATATATATATATACATATTAAACAAGGTGAGCGTTTGGTCGTCTTGGCAAGAACCTCAGTCCTGACTCCGATGCTCCACTTCCGGACGCCGAAGGGTGTTTCACCCGAGGCATTAGAAATTGCAGCCTGGGCAGTGTCTACGACTTGCAGATGCACAACCCGGAGAAATATCGTATGCATGGTATGTATGTGTATGTGTGTGTGCGTATATAGCAGTATGTATTACATAGCGCACAGATGATATGTGTACATGTCTTCCATTTCGCCCTGCTACGTGCATACGTACATACATACATAAATACATACATACAGTACAGTACAGCACAGTACAGTACAGTAGATTACATATACAGCACAGTACATTACAGTACAGTACAATACAACACAATACAGTACAACACAATGCAATACAATACAGTACAATACAATACAATACATACGTACATACATACATACACACATACATACATACACACATACATACATACATACATACATACATACATACAGTACAGCGCAGTACAGTGGATTACAGTACAGTACAGTACATTACAGTACAGTACAATAAAATACAGTACAGTACAGTACAGTACAATGCAATACAATACAATACCATACACACATACATGCGTACGTACGTACATACATACTTACATACACACATACATAAGTACATACATACAGTACATTACATTACATTACATTACAGCCTTTACAGCACACCATAGTACAGCACAATACAATACCGTACAATACAATGCAATACAATACAATACAACATCATACCATTCCATACATGCATACGTACATTCATTCATACATACATACATACATACATACATACACACATGCGTTTTGAGAGACTCGGACCTGAAACAATCGTCTAATCGCACTCCTGGCGAAAGCGCATCACTCATTGGTCATATCAAGTGTCGTCAAGGCAGCATTAGGCTTGGCAGCTCACAGCAAGTCATCGCGGCATGCTGCATACAGAAGCTACGAAGCGTACAGGGAATCAAAACATCAGGCGCAGGAATTCGTCGTTGGAGAGCTGCTCAACATCAACTCGACAGCGTTGCATATGAAGCATCCAACTCTGACGTTGCTCGCCAAAGAGGGGGCAAACCCGAAGCCCATGTATCAGACTCCAGCGTGGATTACCACATAAGCATGGCTGCTCTGCACTACCTGTACCACGCTGACGCGCCCTACGCCCACGGAAAGGGATGGTGATGGGGCCAATGTCCATTCACGGACGACATGCTCCTCAAGCCTGCCACCATGTACTTGCGGAGAGCAAACAAGACGAGGCTGACATTCAAGATAAGACCCTAGGGAAGGCACTGCTTCAATTTCTGATCGATATTGTGCCAATGCTTCGAGCTGCAACACAGGCTGGTCTACCCACCGTCTGCACTGCAATGGGGCCGCTCGCGCCCCCGGCATCATATACATCGTATACATACACGAGTATAACAAGTACATATGCATATAACTATACATACGTATATCCGCCGACAACCGGGGCGGCGCCCGGCCTTCTTGGTTTGGCCATGTAGCGGGGTATTGTAACTTCACCCACCGGACTGCCTCCCGTCTCCTTTTTTGTTGTGTTGTCAAGCCCAAAGACCCCCACCCCTTCCCTCCCTCTCCCCACCCATCCCCCTCCTGCCCCATTTGGTCAAAATTCAGTCACTGGCCCTACCCCAGAGCCCACAGCGCCCACCCGAACCCCCCTCTCCGTCCTCCCTGCCCTTCCCCTTAAGTTAGTCATTTATTCAAGCGCAAGGCACGCCCTGACCCCCCGACGCCTTGGATACCACAGCGCCCACCGTCCCTCCTCCCCTCTCCAAACGTCCCCCTCCTCCCCCATTTCTTTGTCATTTAAGTCAACCACCTCCTCCCCCATTTAGTGTAAGTCATTTAAGTCAAGCCCTTCAATTCAAGCTCAAGGCAGGCCCTATACCCTCCTGTCCCCCCTCCTCCCCGATTTATTGAAGCCCAGGCCCCACCCGACCCCTCAGCCCCACAACGCCCGCCTAGCCACGAAAGGGCGCGCATCGTGAGCATCAGCGGCCCCAGTCCGGGACGCGGAGCGCGCATCGGACACGGGGGGGGGGGAGGGCGGGAGAAGGCCCCCTCCATCCTTACTAAATGTTGTTCTAGATGGTTTGCGGATTGAAGCTCAAGTTTATATCGGCTTGTCCGGGCTGCTACCTGCGCTGCCCGCCGGTGGGCGCAGCCCCTCGAAGATACATTTATGCCAGACTCAAGATCGCATGCTGGGCCGCCGGCCTCACAACCACCGCCTGCACAGCTCATCTAACTAAGCGTTTCACCTTTACGAGATGCCGGCCTAAGATCATGTAGGCTCTGAACGGAGCCCGTAATTCCTTCTTTCCATGATTCACGAGCATAGCTGGCTAGCTCAAGTTGGAAGTGTTGATGTTGTTGCTGGTGCAAAGATGTTTACAAAAAAAAACTGTCGGCATGCAATCCTGATAAGAGAAGCGCCTGACAGAATGCAAACCATCCCTGCACCTTGTTCTCTTCGCCATGCCCGAGCCATGTAGGACGGAGCCGGCACTGATAGGATGGAATGTGGTGAGCCTTAGATGATGCAAATAACACGCAAACTATCTCGTCGGCGTGCTGCAAGCTAGTCTGTCAGAGACCGTGGCTTGGTGCGAAATTATACGGCATTGCCTTGGTGAAACACGATGCAACCTGCAAGTTTGATGCGCAATTCACCAGCACGGAATGAGGGTGCCACCACACTTTTGCTAGATGATTTCGAGGTCTCGCGAACAGCAGACACCCGCCCCAGCACAGTCGGAAACTCGTCAGAAGGGGAACCAACGCCTGAAGGCAGACCGGCGTGCGACCTCACTTCGCTTGAATCCTCTCACACTTGCAAGCCGCCTCCGGTACCGCTCCTCTCTCGAGGAACGGGTAAATGGGCAAATGTCGCAGCACGCTCGAGCACCTGCGTCTTGTAACCCCAGACTGCCCGCCCTGCGTTGCATCAGTTAGCAGCCTCGGCATCCAGCCAGGGAACTGGAAGCCGCGAGGGAGAACAGCACCTGTAAGACCTGTAAAACTTCTCACAACTCGAAGGGCAAGATCTCTGAATTCAGCTACCAGCTACTCTCAGCTATGCTGCGTCGATGCCTGTCGATGGTATCAGCGGAGCTCGGTGCATCCGGTGACACAGCCTGGGCTCCGGCGCTGCAAGGGCAGCAGCCGCTGATCCGAATTACGCTGGCAAGCAGCTTCCGTGCTGACAGACACCGGGCTCATCGGGCCCAGATGCTTTGACTCCGTCACGCTGTCTGACTCCAGAAGCTCCATCTGCCCATCAACACGATTCAACTGGTGTCTTAAGGGGCATGGCTTTAGGAATCCGTTCGGACAAGAGGCCGGTGAATGAGGCGTCTCATCAGCCGGGAAAACCATCAAGGGCCTTGAAGTAGCAGACATGAAAGTGGCCACACTTCCGGCATGCTCCAGATGCTGCTGCTCCAAGAAGCCGTTAATGAGCTGCATGCCGAGAAGCGAGCTGATCTGGTCTGGCACAGCAGCATCCCGGGTCTTGGAGGCCGCACTTGCTGGTAGCATCGCAAGACCAAAGCTGAATCCAGAGCCGGTTCGAGAAGCTGCAAATCAAGTCGTCATGCAAGCTTCAGCTTCTCCGATCTGTCTGATAGGAACAAACCTGACTCTGGATTCAGCCACACGGAACTGCCGTGCGCTGTACAAGAGCCGCCAGTCAGCAATAGGCTGATTTCTGAAAAGCCAGAAAGGCTGCGAATGCCAGGCATCTTCAAGAACAGAACGTGGACAAGCCAAGATCGTCTCACATCACAACATCGGACATGCAACGCTGCCAAATACAGTCGAGTCTGGTCTGTTGACACGTCAGCACCTGCCGCACCTGCCTCTCCGAGTGTGGTCTTCGACCAGCCCTGAACTAACAGCTACATCCCCCGGATTCCGTCTTGAGCCACTCGGCGCAGAAGCAAAAAAGACAGGGGCAGGCTGCTTTCGATTGAACACCTGGTGTCGCTGAACTTCTTGTGGGGAGCAAATGGTTCATCGGCGAACAGCAATCTACGCGACACTACTGGTACTTGTGACTGCAGAATGGCAATGAAAAGAGAAAGACGACGGCAAAGCCAAAAGATCGGGCTCTGAGATTTTCCGTCGGGGTGATCTCGTGGAGTCGCCCTTCACTAAGGCCAACGTGGAAGATGCCACCGCGGACTTGCGCAACCTGACCATCCACCAGAATGTCTGAATCTGGCCATGGCGATTGCACCAGGAAGTCCTCAGGCTCAGCTTGCTCAAACCGCCCCTGTCCCCAGATTTTGACAGCTTGGAGTACAACATCTGTGTGGCTTCCTGTAGGCCCAGATTCACGATTGCAACAGCGTCCAAGCGATACCGGTGTTCTATGTCATTCTAGACAAGGTGCCGTTCGCACCACCGTAGGACCCATGTCTAGCTCCGCTTCGAGCATAGGAAGATGCATTTTGAACTCCTTGGATGCTGAAAGCGTGGGACAGGCCTGGAATTTGCTCTGTGACTGAAAGGAAAAGGCTTCCTCGCTGCGTTGCACAACAGCACAGTAGGAGTCCTGCCATGCCTCGGTCACAAATCCCGACGCCGTCCGACTTGCCCTTATCATTACAGGCCCCGGAGCGCGGAGGTGGAAAGAAGCCGCCATGCCAAGTGGCAAGGACGGGAAAACCTCAAAAAAAAAAAGATCCGCATTTGAGGATTCAGCCCTTTCTGATGCCTGGCATTTCTGCACGGAGTCTTCGAATCTGGTAGAGGCAACACAGGAATGCTGCCTCGTTGGGGGCAAAGCTACCTACAGCTGCAATGCAATGCCTGTTAATCTTGACTTGGTGGGCAAGGAGCACTCCTCTTACAGGCCGACAAGTGCAGTAAAGCCGAAGTGCAAAGCTGACTGCATCTGAAAAGTGAAGTGAGCCTTCCCCCTGGCAGCCTTGTTCCTTTCCAAGGCACCTGAAGCACGCCTTCAGGCATTTGCAGAAGTAGCTCCGTGGCAAAGGCTGCGCCACCGACATTTTCCTCATGCTGCAAGGATGACAAACAAAGCACTGCACATAAATCAACCCTGGCTTGTTGCCAAGTCTCCAGGCCCGTGCCGCCGCAACCCAGCACCATGCCGTTACCGTACAGGCGACATTTCGGATCCGACCTTCTTCAGACATGGCTCGCATACCCCTCGACCCGACCCTGAACCCAGACTTGCCAGGACGAAACTGAAGCTCCTGCGTGTTGGTGAGATATGCCTCCCAATCCTCGGCTTGATGAGGTGCGAAGGGAATAAGGAATCATGTATCTTTTTTGGTAACCATGATATACCACGCTACAAGGATATTTTTAACGTGTTGCATTCTGTCAGGGTGTACTACATTATTCTTCTTGTTTTCATTTCATGGTACATTACGCTATATTGTGCTATGCTGTGTTGTATCTTATGCCATGTCATATTCCGTTATGTTATGCTATGTTGTGTCATGGTGTGCTATAGTGTGCTATACCGCTATACCTTGCTATACCGTGTTCTGTTCAATTTACGCTGCGAAATATTATGTGATGTAGTATTACATTCTGTTTTATGGTGTTTTATAGCGTCGCACTGCGCTATGCTGTGCTACCTTCTAGGGCTTTTTGCTGTGATATACCGTGTCATGTTTCAGTAGCGTATAGTATAGTAAAGGAAAGTATAGTAATTATAGTATAGAAAGGGTCTGTAGTATATAACAGATAGTCATATAGTGTATGGTGAACGGCATGTTGTAGATAGTATCTAAAACCCGGTGTCTCTAGAGCATGGTCTTTGATATGCAGTATATGGTGGCATGGCATCGTAAAGTATAGTCTAGTCTAGTCTAGTCTTATTTTCCTTGGGTTCTAAAGAGTTTTTCTATCACTAGCGCGAGAAAGCCAAACGAAGACTCTCAAACTGGCGTCGAGCGGCCTGCAACAAGCTCCCTGCTTCCGTTCTCCATCCGACCCGCGCAGCTGCTGAGAAAACGTGAGGGAAACTGTTTCCCTGCTTGCCACCAGGCCATTGCTTGAAGAAGCGGGCCTCCACAGTGCAGCAATGCAGGTGCAACTCTGTGCGCGGGGAATCTCGAAAACATGCCGGTCGATGTCCGGGTGACAACAACATGGCTCTCGCCATACAGCATGTAGCTGCGCAGCTGTTTGGGTGCCACAGAAACAAGCTTTAGCTGCTGCCACCGCCACCGACACGCGTCAACAAGCATGTGCAGAGCATTACTTACCCGTCGAGATTCAGCAGCCATCTCCAGGCTTCGGGTTGGCACGTACCGTAAACTGTCCAAGCATAGCGGATACCACTTTATCAAGTACTCCATGGCGTGTTCCCCACTCGGATAGTGATGGAGGGAAAACGGCACAGCTCGGAGCGTGGTCTTCGTGCCGAAAGTTCTTTAGCAGTTGACACGGGGCAGTCTGTCATTCAGCAGTCAGGGACGTGGTACGTGAGTAGTGCATCCATCACATATCACTAGCATTTTGTCGTAATGCATGGTAAGGACACCGAGGTAAAACACTGATTGTGACTTCGACCATGCGTGCAAATCACAGACTCGATTTGAATAGCCCTGCATTCCCATTAGGTCTCCTATCTTAGACCCGCAGGTGTTCCTGGTTTTGAACTTTCTTCGCATCGTCAGCAGTACTGAATATTCTTCAATTTGTCGTTTCGATTCTGACCGGTTCTCAAGGGCTCCGCAGCGAATCCAGAAGACCCAGAAAGTGCACTCCGGCGCACCAGCGACCGATGGACCAGGTCGAGGGCTCTTCTCTCACTTCGCCTTAGCCGTTCAGCTGATTGTTGCTCTGGTTCCGACATGACGATGCTGCAGGCCGTGCTGGTGGACCGAGCCCAAAGGGAAGGCAGCGAAGAGCCCACCCCAGGCAACGGAGCCTCCTCGGCATCTGGGCGCAGCCAACTTTTGTGCATGTAGAAGGACCGTTTGCAAGCATGCAAGATGGCAAAGTTTTGCCAAGCTGCCTGAGTGGAGCCGCAGTTCCAAGCCGTGCTGAGTTTCTCCACCGTAGAAGTCTGCGATGACCTCCTCTCCGTCAATGACCTCTATAAGCGCTGCAATGCTGCAAAGCAGACGGTAACACTTTGCGACAAACCTCTGTCATACCTTCCTAGTTGTCAGCCCTCCTATTAGGGCTTGTGTGCCTGTCAATTACACACCGAAGACCCCAATCAGCAGAAGAAAGACCAGAGCCACACCACACCGCTTTTGACTTCAAGACAGCCCATATAAAGGGAAAGAATAGAGACAAGCATCGAAACCCCTGCCCCTGCCCCCACAACCAAACATCGGTGTTCTCTTTCATATTAAGAAGAACCTCTACAGATCCGATCTAGCAGGAAACCCTACAGGAAACTACAGGCGACGAGAGGACACCAGCCTCGAAACACTGGCATTACCCAGCCCGACTGGTCCCAGTTGGCATTGGCTACCGCTACCAGTCGCAAATGAAAGGAATCACAAACCTCGTTGTTGGCCACCCCGACCGGTTCCAAATAAAGGGAGGCAAAGGAAACAAGCATCGAAACCACGTAATGGGGAAACCAAAAGAAACTCGACACTCCGCTGCAAACTGAGTGAGGCAAGGAGGCGACGAGACAATAGGAAAGAGAACCACTGTCGTCAAGGGGGAGACAAGCGTCGGTGCTGGCCAACCGGCCGCATCCAATGAGGAGGCGGAGGGTAACAAGCGTCGAAAACCTTGATTGGCCACCCACCCACAGCTCACAACACAGGCATTTTCATTGGCAAAACAAAGAACCTCTAAAGTCAAGGGGGGACCGGCGGCAAACCTTGAAACCTCGACATTGGCAACCGTTCCGAAATGAAGGAAGACATGGGCTAGAATACCCTGGCATTGGCCACGCGTGGAAAATTAAGGCATTGGCCCGCCACGCCCCAACAACGGGAAACACGAATTCTTTAGTTTCTTTCGATTGGGTTGCGCCCATTTTTCTCACATGGTCTAGTCCCCTTCACTGGATTACCCCTGATCTGAAAACTTTCTTGTCCCATGTGACTGGTTTGCTCCTGTTCTCACGTTTGTCAGACGCTTTGATCTCCATCGAGCGGCTTGCTGCTGCTTCCGAAGTGCTTAAGCCCTTTACCTGTTTCTCTAGCCTCTTTCTGGCGGTTTGCACCCATTTGCTAAGCTTTCTGGGCCCTTTCGCCTGGTTCGCTCGAGTTTCTCTCTTCTCTTTTGGCAGGTTGCTCCTGGCTCTTGCAAAAATCGTTTCTTTGTGAAATGCACCAGTCTCGTTTTCTTCTTCGTGTCAAACTTTCCCTACATTTCTAACGGCGGCTGCTCAAGCTCTCGATTCTCTTTCGATCGCTTTGTTCCTAAGTCGACTCCTCTTGACTCTCCTGTTTCTAGTCCCTTTCGACCGGCGGCTCCTCTTTCTGCTAGTCTCTTCCGGGTGTTGCAGCTGTCTTTCCGCCTCTCAGGTTCCGTTCGACTGGCTTGCCCCTGCTTCTCAGGATTTCCTCTTTGTCAAAGTCTGGGTCTCTCTCGGGCGGTTTGCTCCTGTTTCTTTCGATTTTCCAGTGTTTTTTTCTGACCTTGCGGTGTGCTTGCTTGCTCCTCTGTCACAAACTCTCTTTGTCAAAATCTCTGCTCTCTTTCCCTTTGCGGAATTTGAAATTTCTGGTGCCTTTCGAGTGGCCGTCTCCTCTTCCTCAAACTCTCCTCGTTGTTAATTGCTCCGGTGCCTTTCGAACGGTGTTGCTCCTCGTTGTCACTTTTTAGTCTCTGTCAAGCTGTTTGCCCCCCTTGCTCAGATTGTCTAGTCTGTTTCGAGCTGGTTGCTCCTGTTTTTCAATTCTCGTCGTAGTTCTCTCTAGTCCTTGTGTGCGTGTGAGTGAAAAATGTCGAACCTCCTTCGAGTTGGTTGCTCTGCTTTCTCCTATCTTTTCGACATCTTTCTCAAAGTTTGTAGTCTCTTTTTGCGCATTTCTGTATCTTTCTCCATTTGTCCTCTGTGTCAGCTTCCTCAACCCCTTTCCAGCATTTTGCTCCTGCTTCCAATAGTATCTAATCTCTTTTGAACGGTTGGCGTCCGCTTCTCCAATTCTCTACTCCGTTGCAACTGGTTTGCTCCTCTCTCTCTCGCTCTCTCTCTCTCTCTCTCTCAATGACGCCTGTGCGTCAAGCTCTCTAGTCTCTCTCGAGCGTTTAGCCCTTGTTGGTCACATTGACCCAACTCTATTTCAGGTATCCGCTTTGGCAAAACTTCGCATCCATGTCGACCAGCTTGCCCTCCTGATAGATTATCTAGTCTTTCTTGACCGGCCTACTCCTCTTGCCAGCAAGCCCATTTCGGATCAGAATCTGTCATCCTTTCTGAGAACCCCCTCTCTTCATCAAACTCTCTACTTGTTTTCGATCGGCTGGCTCCTGCGTCCAACATTTTCGAATCTCTTTCGACGGCTTTGCTCATATTTCTCAAACTCTCCTTCTTGTCAAGTCTAGTCTCTTGGAAGCGCTTTGTTCCTGCTTCTCAGGTCTCGTAATCCTTTTCGACTGCTCTTTTTTCAACCTTTCCTCTTTCTCAAACCTTCCTTTTGTCAAACTCTCTTTCTTGAGTTGTCTAGTGCCTTCTTCGGCGGGCGTGCTCCTCCTTCTGTCTGCCTCTCCATGGCAACCACTGACATCTTCCTGTGATTCTCGTGACGCCGAATTCGGTATTCTACAAAAGGGGGCCCCGGTTCGGGCTTAATCGAGGTGGTGCGACGGATTGTTGTCTCCTCGCATTGCCATTCCGCTTGAATTCTCGAATTGTGCATCTGGTACCTTGTCAATGATGTGTTCGACAACCCTTTGAGGCTTGCAAAACCTTGTCGTTCCCCATCGTCACATCGCCATGTGATTAATTGGGTCCTTATCTTGTCTTCCGATCTAGGTCCTTTATGCCAGTTCTGCATCAGCAAACCCCGCCTCAGTGGGATAGGGCGCGATCCGTCCGGCTATGTTCCGCCAGCGCTGTCGGGTCTCTGCTGACTCGGCATTCAAGATCTCGGCCACCTACACGGTTGAACTTCATCATCCTTTGCGGGCCCTCAAAACCATAAAATATCATAAACCCTCCTTCATCATAAACCCTCCTTCAAGAAGATCAACCCTTGTTTGGAACCAGCACTTTGCAAGACAGCTCTAGGAGCACCTTTCATCACGAGAAAGCAATTAGTAAACCCAGAACCCCTGGATCCAGAAATCCTGAACCATAGCGAATCTCAAAATCCCGAAATCACAATCACAAGCCCTCCCTGCTTCGTGCTTTTGCGCTGGCGTCGCGTGCAAGTGATGTGGGAGTATCCACATGTCATTTTCCACAGCGTCTAGCTAAGGTGAACACGGCTTGTCGGCTCCAAGTGTAAGGTCAGACCTCATCACTCCCTTCTTCGAAATCGAAGGGCTCGTCAGTCTCATGGCTTGCATTCGCTTGCGAAGAGATGCCTTCCTCAATACTTGTAGTGGGGCACAGGCGAAGGTGTCTCGAGTCTTGCTTGGTCCAGTTTGGAGCGAGATAGTCCAGAAGGAGTCGGACGGCTGTTTCGGGCTCTTCTTGCGCGTCTGTGTCGTCTGAGCTCACTGCATGCTCGGAGATGTGAGGCAGAGTTAGCTGCACTTGCTTTGGCCCACAGGCCGAAGTTGCTGAAACTGCTTAGGCAGAAGATGCCCTGGAAACATTCGACCCACTTCGTAGTCGCAATCTTCCGCGATCCAGAAGACCAGAGACACGCCTGAGCTTTTTGCGAGCTCGCACGGTGTACCTGGCAATGCTTGGAGACTGTGCTCTGGAAACTGGCCACCTCAAAAGGTGCAGGGGAATTTGGACGCTATTCCAGCCTGTGTGACTCCCCGAAGAGCACCCGCAGATTCTGCAGGGCTTCCTCTTGAAGGAAGGCCGCCCGGGCCAGCAGGCGGCGCTGCATCGAATCATCCCTCCAGGAGGCTTTCTTTATGATGCACCGGACATTTTTGGCTTTTTCCACACAAAACGTATAAAAAGGGTTGCAGCTTGACTGGCTCAGCAACTGAGACGCCTTTTGCCAGGATGCTGCCGGTCCTCTCGCGACAGACATTTTGGCTTGCACACTTTGGAGGCTGGGAACGGAGAATCCATCGCTGCAGCACTCGGCCGGCTGCTCAGGCTCAGGCACACATCGACTTGGATCTGCGAATCAGCAAACGAGAGCATTTCTGCATTGTCCAAGCACGGCATGCGTTCCTTGGCACCCGAGAGCTGCTTTAAACACGACACTCTGCCCACCCCCGGTGTTGACATGACTGCGTCAAGCAAGGCGCGGCCACGGAAACATGTGTCGCTGACAACCTGAGTTCTTAGAAGGAGCTTCGGCTTGGGATTTTTATCAAATCCAGGAAGACCTCCGCTCACGCCAAGCTGCGAAGGCGACGCTCCATCCATTTCAGTGCCTCATCCATCTGGCCTTGCGAGTCGTACCAGGGAACCATGTAGGTGCCCAGGCGCTCGCAGAGCCAATGCTGCGGCCCCAGGGCGGAAGAGGCCTTCCAGAGAGGCATCGTTTCACATGCAAGACTCGCTGCCGTCCCTGACCTTCTCCCTCTCTCATCCCCGGGTCCTCGCCTGGTCCCCGGCTACTTCTTCCAGCTGCCTGGCCAGCATCTTCAGAAGCGTGCTAGCTGGATAGGTGAATTTGCCAGTGCCCTGCCTTGCATCCGCTTCCGTGATGAGCTCTTCCACCGGCTTGGTGCCACAAGCCTGCGCTGGGTAGGCCCGAGGCAAAGTCTCGACTTAGTGAGCGAGCACCTGGTCCAGCAGCTGCAACCGCAGTCGCAGTTGCTTCTCCGTGTCCTGGACGGCATGCATCCGAATAGCAATGGACCATGAAGGCCGAGGAGACACGATGTGTGGATCCAGTGAAATCGAGACTCCAGCAAGCCAGCAGCATGCTCTCCGACGGCCCGGGAGCACGTAGAGCAGCACATCCCAGCAAGGTCCTGGCGCCCGTCCCCTCGCATCTAGGGACTCGAGAGGTGGCAAAGCTCAACTGCTTACAGCAAGTGAAAGTGGGAGAAAAGGCCCTAGCTGAACGGCGGCCAACCTCTGCACGGACGGCCCCGTTCAACGGAGGGAAAATATGGCTCCCACCTTGCACCCGGAGATTCGCGCTCTCGAGATCCAGAAAGCATAAGAAGTTCAGTCGCTGTTCTGCTTGCCGCTGTGATGCAATGCGGGCAGCGGAATCCACGGCACAGGTCAACCGGATCTGTACCCGAGGCCGCTCGCTCATCACCTAAACAGCAACCGCTAAACTCGTACGATGTAGTACGAAAAAATTCAACAGGTTGAGCACGCTTTGAAAACCTGAGTTCCAGGCAGCGCTCACAAGTGCACAGAAAAAGCTTCGTTTTCTTGAGAGCTCTCTTCCGGTGAGATGCACTGAACATCAGTACGTCCTGACGCGACAGAAAAATCTGCGAGTATCCGAACACAAAGGCGCAACACTCCTCAAGTTCTCTGCGCGGCTCCTCCGCAAGATACGAGATGCAAACCTCGTCACCCTCGGAAATGTCCATGCGGGCTCGAACTACCTTGAATCTGATCGCTCGAGTTGGCGTTGGCTTCCTACTGAACTCATGCCTGCCGACAGCGAAGGAAGGACAACGTAAAGCACGCGAACAAGCGAGCCAAGTTCACGTGAAGCGCATCAGCGCCCTCGTGCCAAATGGCATTTGGCTTGCAAGAATGTGACCTTGGCCCGAGGACGCCGGAGCCTGTGTCCTCGTTTCATAAGACGTGGCTTGTAATGTTATTGGCCTGCGTTAAACATCATCAGCTTGAATAGTGGGCTACAACGAAGCAAAATTGTTCTGCCTATTCCTGTTATTAATAGGGTTATTCCTGCTATTAACATGCCCATTCTTCATGTTCTTGTTGTTTGGGCTACTATCTCTTTATATTGCTGTTTCTTTGGATACTATCCCTAAACCCTAGGTCTTAAACTGCCGAGAGCGCCGCTGACCATTTGCATGGGCGCTCGAGACTCCCACCGAGGCTCCGGACCAGGACTGTGGCGACGCCCCGCCCCGCTAAATGACCTCTACCGGCACTAAAGAAGGCGGACCGATTTTTGCCCGAAGTTCGGCAGGGTCGCCCCTTAGGACCGGTCCCTCTTCGAGTACCCAGGCCAGCCCCAGGCTGTCAAATTCCTGAAAAATTTGCTCCTGTCCAGGCTGGCCAGAGCCATTTCAGGGCAGTGTTTACACTTCGAGCGACCCTTCCAGGGTGCGGGTTGTTAGTTGGAAACCTTTGCTTCTCGTCCGAGCGGCCGGCACAGGCCAGCGGGACTATATGCTGACGCAGGCGCGCGATCAGTGGGTGCGCCCCCATTCCTAAAGTAAAAGGCGCACCCAACGCGCCCACACTGGATACACACCCTAAACCCGAAGCCTTAAACTCCCCTGATACAGTTCTTCAGCTCGGCCGCATGAAGGAAGAGACAAAGTAGGCGGAGTAGCCCTCGGGGGTCTCAGAATGCTCCTTGGCGTCTTACTCTATATCTATATATATATATATTTATTTATTTATTTATTTGTTTGTTTGTTTATTTATTTATTTATATTTATATTTATGTTTACGTTTATCTATTTATTTATCTATTTTTAATTTAATTGTTTATGTCCTTTATTCATTGATTTATGTTCTTATTGGATTATTTATTTTTTATTCATGTATTTACTTATCTATTTATATTTATGGTTAATAAGAATAATAACAAATAACAACAACAACAACGTAATAATAATAATGATAATAATCATAATCATAAAAGTAACAATGACAATGATAATAATCGTAATAATAATATATTAATAGTAGTAGTGTTAATAATACTAATTGTAATAGTAATAGTAATAGTAATAGTAATAGTAATAGTAATAGCAATAGCAATAGTAGTAGTAGTAGTAGTAGTAGTAGTAATAGTACATCTAATAGTAATAGTAATAGTAATAGTAATAGTAATAGTAATAGTAATAGTAATAGTAATAGCAATAGCAATAGCAATAATAACAATAATAATAGAAATAATGATGAAAATAAAAATATAAACAATAATAATTATTATTATAGTAATAATAATAATAGTAATAATAATAATAGCAAATATAAAAATAAATTATACTAATAATCTCATATAGAATATACTGTGATATAATACAACATGATATATGACAACATAACATCGTATATAGTAAATATGTAATCGAATTCAATATATTCACTGTTTTCACTGCTTCCCGCACAGGGTGGGTTGGACGCAGCCCTTGGCTTGCGAGACAAATTAAGGTGCAAGCGCCGACTCACAGCATACGGAGATCGAGAGACACGGACTCCCGGAGGCTTCAACAGAAGCAGGATAGCGGCACGAGCATGTAAGTCCGGTACGAGCAGGCAAACTTGAAGCGGGAAGGCTGGGCAGACAAATGACAAAGGAAAAATCCACACTCTTGCGGTGACTCGGTCAGTGTGGGAGCGGTCAGAGAGGCACGAGGTCCAGAAAGCAGGCAGGTCATTCAAACACTATGACGTGGTCAGCAGTCCACGGCACGGGACCGGCACAAATACCGAGCGGACATCCAACATCCCGAGTGACGCACTCCCGTCTTGGAAAGTGTCATGATGGGGTTGTTCGCCTTGCGGCTCCGGTACAAGCCAACTGGCAAAGTCGGCAGCACAGACTCAGTTGGCAGCGTCCAGGAGAACACGATGACTCTCTGGAACAGCTGCGTCAGCAAGAAGGGCACAGAGCTGGTCTCGCCAGACAGAGGCGGCAAGCCGGAGGCCACGAAGGGACAGACAGACGCATGCAAAGGATGATCATTTCACGCCCCTCAGAATCTTTCAAGTGTCAGGCCCGTCCAAGTCCAGATGGGCCAGACAGTCAAGAACCTCAGCGGAGAACCCACAATATACATATATGTGTATGTATGTATGTATGTATGTATGTATGTATGTATGTATGTATGTGTATATATATATATACGAATCCCGAAAACGTTCTGGTGAAAAGCCACGGTGGCCTGAGCTGAGGTTGAAGTCAAGGTTCAAAGCAATTCAAAATCCAAAGCCTGGGATGCCATCGGGAAGGAAGCTGCAGGACCCAGGGTCGAAGCTTCAGAGCCCTCTGAAAACATCCTGGACGAGGCAACCTTAGGAGCTCCTCCACCTTCACCGGGGACACCGCCAGTCCCAACTCTGTCACCATGCTCTCCACGGTGGCGCCTTACTCTCCCATACTGTGGCGCGAGGATCAAGAGAGTACCGATAGTGCCGCGCAGTGTCTTGCTTCAGAGACAGGCTCATGATAAAGGCAGAGGAGTTGCTTTTGTTGGTCTCTCCTTGGCTTCACTGAATGCAAGGGCTTCTGCGGCTGGAGAGGGAACGACATCATCGCCATGAACTTAGCCGTGCTTCGACACTGGTTTCAGACACCCCACCTTGGGAGGTGTTCTTAGATCGTCTGCTGTCAGCGAAGAAAACGCTGCCCAGTACCACAGCGGGTTGTAGGCCACGTCCTCAGACAAAGTCTTCAAAACATGATCTTCTCCTCTCCGATGGGCTGCGGGAGTGTTGAACACGACAAAACAACCAAACCAAGCAAAGGCGCATCACGCTTCTCACAGATCCGCTTCACCAACTTGAAAGCCTCGTTGCCCTCATCCACCTGCACAATGTGTAGCGGAGGTTCCTGGCTCGACTGCCACGAGGCCATGAGGGTCACTCTCAAAGCCAGCTCTCCTCGAAAAGCAGGTCTCCTCTCTTGAAGGAGCACGTGGCCCTCAAGATCCGACCCTTGCCTCGGAAGTTCACGCCAGTGCTCACGCTTTCATCAACCTAAGCCATTTCAGTCCCGGATTCTCTCTGATAACTCGCCTTAGCTGTGCATCGGTTGTCAAAGCTGGGTGGAAGATGTCGAGGAAGAAACACTTCGGCCAGGCTGCACTGCACTTTTCCCTGAAATAGTTGCCGGCAGCGCAGGTTGATAAAGTCCACGGACCACTCTTCCATGTGTCAATTTAACGAAATGCTACGCTGAACCTGTTGCCAACGAAACCTCATGCTTGGATGCAAAGATGCAGAATGTATACATGGGCAAGCCAAGGATGTTGGCAAAGCCTGAACCCAAATTGGCAGCATCAGGCAAAAATCTGACTGAAAGAGCCAACTACGCAGGAGGGCCATGATGACTCGACATAAGGTGCCTGGATAAGAGGAATGTGTTTGACTAGGGTTGGGGCTCGGGGTGGCGAATTGCACTTGCGACTTACGAGAACTTACGTCTTGTAGCGAGCTTCGAGGAAAAAAATCCAAACATGATTATCTGGGTTCTTGTTAGGGGTTATACTATTATTTAGAGATCTCCATTATGGCAACTTAAATTAAATCCCTTAACAAGAACCCAGTTATGAGGCTTCTGCAGCACCCGAAGGCCCGAACCCACCTCCGCCACCATCGTGAAGAAGCTGGGCAAGAGCGACAGGACCACCTGCGAAAAGCAGCACCCGAAGGCCCCGACTTCAAGCTTCTGCTTTGGCTCCTGTTCATGAATGCGGGTGCATGGGGCAGTTGGTCTGCCAGCTCCTGGTAACACATGGCCGGTCAAGGCCAGGTAACAGTTGGATCTGGCTGCAGATCGCCATCGGGGAGGCAAATCTCCTTCGAGCAACTTGGCGTTCTCTGGCATCTGCTTCAAGACTTCTCTCCGCCACCATTTGCAGAAACCAGCCCACACAAAAAGCCAAGAGCCCCTACAGAGCTGGGAAAACTCCTCGGCGCAGTCATCTCCGTCGTGCAGATATCCATCTTGGCCCACGTCGAGATTGCATTCCTGCACTCTCCGTGTTGCTCTGCTCAAGCTAAATGATTCAGGGCATAGGGCAAAGGATGCACCGGTACACACACGCACACACAAAGCAGCGTCCCAAAAGCGAGCGACGCCGGCAAGGAATGGCAAGGAGGTCTCCGCAAACTGCAAGCTGCCGGAATATCTCCAATACCTGCAGTTGCGGCAGGTTGCGGCACATCAGACTCTTGGCACTTGGACATACTGCCACCGGGCAGCAGTATGAATGGGACGGCTGCAAAGAGACCTGAAAGCACGAAGCCGGACATGCTACGGCTACTGCTACAAACACAAGGAAGGCAAGGACTGTAATGAAGGAAGATCAATGAAACATCTTGGCATCAACCCCAGCAGCTCCAACTGCCGGCCATGAGCCAATCTGCTTTTGGGCGAGGTCTCCTCCACCAACGCCTGCTGCGCGCACTCCATTTGGCAGGATGTGTGCCTCGGCTTCGCTTGCTCTTGCTCGGCTTAGCAGCGAAGTAGGAAATGGAGAGACCTCTGTGCTGTTTGCACAAAAATTTCTTGAATGCACTTGTGCATTGTCACTGGCCTCTGCTTGAGTCCCAGTGCATCATTGTGCCACCCCGAGAGCCTACGGCGTTTGGCTTCAGAAGCCTGGCAGAGCTGCTTGTAGCTCAAACGCATCCCGGAAAGCAGAGCCGAGCCAGCGTGGTGTGTCAAAGTTGTCATTACACGGCTCGTTCTTTTTCAGAAGCTCACTGTGCTACGTGACGGCTGCTGCCCCACATCAACCACACCAACGGTGGCAAAATGATCCGCTTCATCTAGATCTGGTGGGGCTGAGTGCCAAGATTACCGTGGTAACTTCCTTGCAGGCTTTTTGCCAAACAGAACAGGGCTGCCCAATGCTGTCGCGTCGCCGGAAAAGCCAAAGAGTCCCGGCACTGTGGATACAACTCCGAAGCCATGCGGCGGGCTGCCTCATGATTTGAGTCCAATAAGGCACCGGCAGCCACAGCAACGCCGGTGTCATCATGATCAAGTTGCTGCAGACAAGCTTCCGGCACAAAGTCCACAACTGCTCGAAAGTACGGCAAAAAGGCCTGCGGGAGAGACCGTAGGATGTAACCACTGTCATGTTAACACGCTCCGTCGGCCTCCAGATGGTTGGCTGCAGCTGCATTGTAATAGATCGCCTTCGCAGGTCAGAAGATATCTACAACGTCTCGCTGCCCGAAGACGTTCCGTAGTGTGCCCGGTGCCCCCTGCCAGTTGCACACATCCGGTGCACATGCACGATGTCCAGTGGGTAATTTTGCTTCGTGCTTTACGCAGTTGTTACTTGGTTCTGGTGTTGTCTCCTTCTGCTGCTTCACAGGACCTGCTCTTGGACTGTGGGCTGAAGGGTATCAATAGCCTGAGGGGACACAGGAACGGCCGTGCGCCAAGCAAAGCGAAATGCCTCTGACTCCGACATGTGCTTTGCACTCCGAGGGCCTCAGCATTGTAGTTTAAGGTGATATCACCTGCCCAGAGAACCTGCGCAGGTGAAAGCCCCGGGCAAGGACCACTCTCAAACCCAACCAAACACCCTGAACCCGACCTCCCGACCTCGTCGTCCAGCACGAACGGGCCGAATAAACCAGGAGCGGAGCCAGCCCAAGACGAGATGCGAAGAAGATACTGGCTCATATACCAGTGAAACCTGAAGGTTTTGTTGGTTTCGGATGTGGGGAGGTCAGGATACAAGAAGAACCCAGGGTTGTTGCTCCACGACCGAGAGCAAACTCGGATGAAGCGCAACAGTATCACACAGGCCAGTTCTCGGGGAGAGCTGCCTTGTCAAGCCCGATCACTCCGGATTCTCTTCAAGAACAACATTGCTCGATGCATTCATGCTTCAACTTCACTCGATCAATGCTTCGAAGCTCGTGAGTCCATGGACTCCACATCTGCCATCTCCATCTGCATCGCTTGTTTGATGACTTCGAGGTATAAGTATAGTACTGCCTTTCGACACTCAGGCTCGAGCCTCTCCAAGTCTTAACCAGACAATGTGAGCAGTTGTTAACCTACTCAGTTGCTTCAGGCCGACGATTTTCCCAGGTGTGCTCAACTGCTCAAGCAACGACGCGGACCGTCGGAAACCCTGAAGACGACCCCAACCTTCCCAATGTGATGCCCCCCGAAGCCCCGAAGGTGCTATCCGCCAAGCAAGGACGGAAACGGAAACGCTCAACTCGAGAGTTCGGAGCTCTGTGAAGAGACCAAACTAGCGTAGCTCCTTGTCTTTTCGGGTGCTCACTTTTTATTCTAGGCCCCTCTTTTCGTGAATCCTGCAGGCCACCCAGCCGACGACACGAGAAATACAGAAGATCCCTCCTTCTCTGCTTGCCGGATCCTGAGTTCCAGACCATGACCTTCCATAAAAAGGGGCCTCGTGCAGGTGAGCGGCATCGTCACAGGCGAGTCTGGGATGACAAGGTAGGACCTTGGTTTCAAGACAACGTGAGTCCCAAAGTTAGACACTGAGCACGACGCTTTACCAGATGAAGCCTTAAACGGGGGTCCGGCAAGCAACAAGCATAGGCATCACAAAGTCCCACATGAATCCAAGGCACCGGTCCCAGAAAGATGCCCACGAAGCCAAGTGGGTGGCCTCGGATAGAAACACGCGGTTCTTGAAAAGCCTAGTTAGGGCCTAGTTGTTGTCGATGTCGTTGTCGCCGTCCCAATAACCAAAGCTCTGGTCAACTTGCTCATATGACTTCGTCGTAGTCTTGCTCTTATTTCTGATGCCATTGATTGCCCTGGCGCCTAGGCCCATCATCACAATTCTGCTTCTTCTACTTGCTGTTGCTACCTCTGGATTGCTCGCGGAAGTGTTGATGAGCCTCGGTGCCAAGGCCCTTTCCTCGTGCCGCCACGCAGCTCGAAGCTGAGTTGAGGGTGGCCTAGGCCCAAGGCTCGCCAAGTGCATCTTCAACCCTAATCTCTAATCCCAAAAACAACAACAGCAAAGCCAAGCCAAAAAGCCTGGAGCTTCAAGTTTAAGTCGAAGGCTCAAGCCCCAGGCTGGACAAAAGCGTAAACCAGAAAACCGTCAAACCTCACGTCTCCGGCCGGGTGGGAAGAAATCTTATGGGCTCACTTTAGTTGTTATCTTGTGTCAAGTTCGGTGTCGTGTCGTCGTCTCGGTGCCCCTAATGTACGTGGGCTCCTCGGCGTCGTGCAATCTTTCGCGGGGACAACACGCATTTTTGCAGAGAGTTCACTCCATGCGAGAAGGTCGTCCGACTCCAGTCTTCGATCGCCCACGAACTGCTGAACCGGCTTTCCCACTTGGGCTTGGCTTCATCGTGGAAGCGTTGCTGTTTCTACTGGGGTCTTGAGCTGACTTCATCAACCCTGAAAAGTTGCCACGGGTCGCAAGACACAAATTGCGCAGCACCGATCTACATAGATGCACCGAAGCTGCAATGGCCGAAACCTTGTGGCGCGAGCATCATCAACAAAGCGACCAAGTTAATGCCGTGCCATGCCGTGTCGAATGCACTCCAACATTATATTGCCACAGCTCTTTGCGGACCAACTTGAAATATCGCCACTTTTGCGCACAAGGGGCTCTGGCGTTTCTGTGAGGTTCCTCCGGCTCATCTGCAGAACCAGTGTTGCCGTCCTGACGCATGAGTCTCCCAGAGCCCACAACTCGCAGACCCGACAAACCTGCAACCTGGCCCTGACCCTGACCATGACACACGGCAGCTGACTGCAAATCCCAGGAACCCAGGCTCTGTTCTCCAAACACCCCTTGCACAGGGCCCACGGAGATTGCCACCACATTGCCCCATCGCCTGACAATGACCCGCTGGTGCGCACATGCCGACACCCAACCGGCGAGAACACTTTTGATGATCACGACTTCGTGGGTTACAGACTGTCACTTCAGTGCCTCAGCTTGCTCGAAGGAAGAACGGCTGTGAGCAGAGCCAGCCCCAGCAGCTTGCAGCAGCGTAGCCTGGAAACCAAACCTAAGCCAAAGCTGGTTGGTATGCCAAATAACCTGTCGTCGCCCTTCACCTCCTCCTTCGGAGATACCAGCAGCAGGTCCAAGTGCAAACAAGATGCCACTGCACAGGATAATGCTTGGCCTCATGTCACCAGGAGTTGGAGCGACCTACCTACTGAGTGGAAGTGAGCGTCCACAGCAGTTCGCAACAAGATGTGCCAACGACGGAATTCGTGCTACAGAAGTAAGAAGCTGAGGCCGGCCTACACTATCATGTCCCCAGCTGAAGAGGCTTTTCCTTCAACCCTTCTTCGAACCCCCAAGCGCCTGAAAGTGCCAGCCGTTTGCGCGCGAGACCCTCAGCAACTCCGGAGCTGCCGTTACCTCCGAGGGAAGTCGGTCTGAACCAGCACCTTGTCTGCGGCAGCTCCCTATCGCTGGAAGTGCCCGGAACATAAAAACACACGGGCAAAGGAATTGGCTTTGACTCTTGTGGGTCCGAGCACACGGCCCGTCGTCTTCGTCACCGGCTTCCCTTCCTGCCCCACAAGGAGTCCGGCCGACAAAACCGGTGCTCTGCGAATGCACAATTGCTGATGGGCAGGGTCCTATCCCTGATCGTTCTGACACTCGATCTGTATGCCCACATGTCTGTCAAGGCTATGCCGACAATGCCAGCCTTCACGCTGGTGCTTGGCGATATCGGAGGTCGAGCTGGGCCGTTGCAGCCCGAGAACGTCCACAAGGTGACTTCCACCTCTGCATAACTACAAGAGCTGTGACGGCGACATACGGCGACAACGACAATAACTCATACTATGCAATGCAGAGAAAACTCCAGAATGGCAGCAGCATTGAGGAGGAGCAGGAGGAGGAGGAGGAGGAGGAGCAGGAGGAGGGGAACAGCAGCAGCTGTAGAAGAAGCAGAGGCGCAAGCAGTTCCATTACAAAGCAGCCGTAGTACTAGCAGCAGTGCCGATGGCAGTAGCAGCAGCAGAAGCCGTTCCGGTACCAAGCCTCACTAGCACTAGCAGCAGTGCCAATTGCAGTAGCAGCAGCAGCAGCAGCAGCAGTAGCAGAAGCAGAAGGAGGAGCGGTAGCAGTGCCGACAAAAGCAGCAGCAGCAGCAGCAGCAGCAGCAGTAGTAGAAGTAGTCGGCGTCGTCGTCGTCGTCGTAGCATTTGCAGCAGCAGCAGCAGCAGCAGTCGTCGTCGTCGTCGTCGTAGTAGTAGTAGTAGTAGCAGCTGAAGTAGCTGAAGTAGTAGTAGTCGTGGTGGTCGTGGTGGT